AAGGCACTTGTTACTAGAAGCGATGCACTTGTTCCTAGAAGCTTCTTTTTACTACTAGCAAGGCACTTGTTACTAGAAGCCATGCACTTGTTCCTAGAAGCTTCTTAGTACTACTAGCAAGGCACTTGTTACTAGAAGCGATGCACTTGTTCCTAGAAGCTTCTTGTTTCTACAGAAAAAGTACACAACAACATTTGAACAAAACTCATACTTCTTCCTTTGGACTCTAGACCTTAAATTGTTTATTTCCTTTGAACACTTTTTGATATTTCTCTGAAAAGTGGTGTCTTGACACTTTGACATTCTCATTAAAATGTGTGTGTATCCTTGAAAACATGCGTGCGGCAAAGTCATTTTGTGCATGCGGGTTGACTGCCAAATGTTGACTGCACAATCGGAAGAGGATGTCCTGCTTATTTGTATCCACGCAGGCTTGGCCGTTCAAACCTGGGAGAGACATTGTCAAACAAAGTGTTCGGCAAAATGTCACATCTTTGATGTAGCTTGTACTTGACGAATGTACAAAGCTCCCAACTTCGAAGGCTTCCTATCACATTTGATTACAAGTCGTTCCGAAAGTACCAAACATGAACATGAAAAAAAAAAGAAACCCTGTCAAAAATCCTATGATAGAGGTTGCATTCCTCGTATCAAACACAACATAACTTGCCTTTGCCAGCATCGACTGGAGATAGGCGAGGAGCATAGATCTGGAAAGAACTTCTAAGCTGACCTAAAAAATACATTGTGGACGTAGCTACAAGAACGTGGGCGTAGCATGGCGTAGCATGGCGTAGCCACGTTCGGGGGCTTGCTCGTGGATTCAGTGCTCCTCACCTCTGTGGCCACATTGTCCAGGAACCAGTCGAACGTTTTGCATCCCAACCTGGCAGTCGGCGCGTACTCTTTTTCATGTGAACACGTGAAACTGGCGCAACAAAGTCGGCTTGACCTTTCTCGTAATTTTCTTCGGGCACTCACCTCAGCAACGATCTTCATGAAATGGACACGGCAATGTCGGCAAATGCACCAAAAGGCCCAAACGTCTCCAATGGTGCGGCCATTGATGAGACCAGGTCCAGCCAATTGGACGAGCCTGGGCAGAACACTTCAGACATTTGCAAAACGTCCCCCTTGAATCTCCTTTATGAGTAATTACTAAAGCTAAAGTAATTACTAAAGTTCAATAAAGCAAACTTTGGGATGCCTGTGCTCGTGCAAAGCTGCACCTTGCGACGCCCGAAAGAGAGTGCCCTCCTGTGTCCACAGGTGCCCAAACGTCTTGTACTCATCCATCCAAACTTCGGCAACGCGTAGCCTGCGCAGCCGGCAACAAAGACATGCCTCTTGGAGAGAAAGGGTGTCTTGGAAGGGGTACCGGGTAGCGCCAGTAGTGCAAACTCAAGATGCTGAGGCTCAATGACATTATAGGCGAATGAAAAGAAAGGGAAACAATTGGCAATGGTCAATGGCAGGGGCATGGCCATCTGTTCCCCAATGTTGGATTGTGTTTTTGTCCTTCCTTTCTCAGGGGTCCGGTCTGCCAGGCATGATTCGGAAGAGCGGGAAGCTTGCGACTTTGTGGCCTGTTCCGCACGACTTCGTTAACATCAATCTCGTAGACCTGCGATGAAGGAAAAGGACAGACTCAACGATTCTGGTTGGAATGACCTGCTGGCCAGTGGAACAGTAGAAGAACCGTCAAAAGCACTATGACTATGCCTATCAACACAAACATATCAGCAATGACCAGCAACAGTTTCTGACATTTCTGCACCAGGTGAACAATGCCGGGATGCTCAGTAAGCCATAGTAAGGCTCAAGTGGTCTGCACTTTGGAACATTCGTGCCACGAAGCGCCTGCTCTGACCAGTAGCGTTGAGATCTCCAAATGTGGCCGACGTGGCTACACCTCCCCACTCAGCCGTCAAGGTGATGCTGTTTCAAGAGACACGAAGACACTCGGGACTCGTCTTTCAGTTTTCCAAGTCTTCTGAAATATTACAATCTTGCAATGACACTAGGTGGAGGCCATCGCTAGTAGGTTGGAGGCCATTGCTATGAGACTTTACATCCCGGAAACCAAATCGCGCCCCATTTTCCAGTGCAGCTGACCCACTGCAGTCTGGACAATCGAATTCATTCGAATTCCGTCTGCTGCCCTGTGCCCTCCACAGGGGGACCAAGTCCTGAACAGCATTCAAGGAACACTTGCAAAATCTTGCAAAACCTATCTCTTGGCGTATTCTCAATCTCTTGCAGGTTCGGGTTGGTGTCAGATTTTGGGCCGCTGAGTCCAGCTCGCCGGAGTTTCTGCCTCATGCATTGGTCCAAGAGACTAAGCGTAGAACACTAGTAGCGTCCTTGCTCCTAGTAGTACGGCCAGGAGCCCCTAGTAGCTCCTGCAACGGGCAAGCCTGTGTCTCTTTGGGAAAGGAAAAGGATGTGTAGACAATGTTGAGCAACAACTTCACTATCCAAATGTGACTATATACCCATATGTTGGTAAGTTGGTATGCTCAAATATCCAGCAACTCAAGCGGTCGTCTGACTCTAGTTTCATGGATTTCATTCCCGTGTTTGTTCTTGTTGTTTGGTGATGTCTTGCAGTTCAGTTCTTTCTTCCATGTTCACACAGCCCCAACAACAGAATACAAAATACTGATCGCATGCCTGTTCGCAGACGGTGACCATGTCACTAAAGGCCACCGGATCCTTGCTCAATGAGAACACAGCCACAAATCGAGCATCCTTTGTAGCGGCAGGCCACAGTCCCATAGAAACGAATAACTATTTTCGGCGAAACTGTCCAATCTGATCGAAATGTAAAGCTACGGGTCGCTGACTTCTGATACGCGTCGTTGACTCATGTTTGTCCTCGTCACAGATTCGCGACCAGAGAGCCTGCGCATCGTCCCATAAACGGCCAATCCTGCAGTGACAATGACGCAACTTATGTGCAAGGGCTTGGTCAAGCACAAATGATAACAACCTTCAAGTTGCCAAGGAACTTGCAGGCGCTCACACCGGTTCCCAAGCTGATGAGGTCTTCCTGACGTTGCACAAGTATTCCAGCTGTTTAGGTTAGTCTTTAGCGCGATCCTGGTTCCTTGATAGAAACTCAGCAATGCCGACAAGGAACGAAGACTTGAACATCAAACACAACACTTCCCGAGAATTAATTTTTACTGGACACACAGTTTTTCAGCATCTGAAGACCTCACAATTGCAAAAATATACGAACCGAGGCTTAACCGTCTTAACCGCCTTTTCGCGTTGCAAACTTCAAATCAAACAGGATTTGTTTAAACAAGGTTTCTCTTGTTGGGTCTGTGGAAGGTGCAACTTTCTCACCTGCTTCGCATATCCCGGAGCTACTAATCAAAGTTTTGGAATCTGAGGGTGGCAATGAAAGCTGGCAATGGAGTTGACATGCTGGATCAAGAGTAGTTAGAAACCACCAAATACCAGAAACAGCTGAGGCGATACTTTAAGGCCGGGATAGTGAGAGAAGCTGGGTGAAAATTAAATTGAACAATAATGTCGTGCCAGAGTGTGCATTGACGTGCAGCTATACAGGGCCAAAGCGGAGTTTTATTCTTGCGGTTGGAAAAACAAATGACAACTCCCTCAAAGTGTCGGAATGTTTTGTCCAGCGAGGGTTTTTCTGCGTCGTTGCTAATTTAATTACAAGTAATTAACGCAATGTGTTTCCTACGGACAGCAACATCCTAGCATACTACCTCTCTCGGGCAAAACAAAACCAATTCTAGACAACAAATTATCAACTTGAACTTCGGAGCTTCCTGATGTTTCCAATGCATTGGGCAAAGCACTCCAGCTGGCTGATGTTGTAGCTTACTAACATGTTTCAAAGCATCCGCTTGTATTGCAAAGGAGGAAACCGTCCAAAAATCCAACAGAGTTTCTAAAAATGGTTTTTCCAAGGTTGCGCATGTCTCCGCTTGACTCTTGGGATCTGCTTTGGTTCATGTTGAGCTCTTTAGATCTTCTTTTGCCTCTCATTGGGTTGCCGAACAATATTTTCAGAAGGAATCACGTCGAAGCGCAGTTCTTCCTTGGACACTCTTTTCATGACACTGACAGGCTGTCAAGATTCATGATGTAACCAAAGAACATCAGGGTTTGGTGATTGCACTAATCCCGCCGAGTACCTATTGAAAAAGCCTCCCCAATTGAAAAAAACACCACGTCCGAAACCCAAAATACGTTTTATATTTGTTTTTAAACTACTGCCCTTTCAAACCGCTGCTAAACTACCAACATGGTCGATTTTGGGGGTAGTTTTTTTATTAGGTTCCCCAAAACTCCCTCAAAATAGGTCCCAATACACACTCAAAATCGACCATGTTGCGTTGCTGAGGTCTACACTTCAAGGTCCACAAAGTAATGCACCTGCCACGAAACCAGCATTGGATCTGCAATGGGTTCATCAATGATTCAAGGATCCTTCCACTGACCCTATTTTGGACCACACCCATTTCAGGGACCCCCTATTGAAAAAATGTGACCGAGTTTCTCTTAATAGGGGGGGGGCGTGTTTTATTATATAATAGGTGGACAGGATAATCGTTCTCCACGTTTTGGTTCCAATGCCATTTTACATGCGCAGCAACCTATTTCAAGACTCTAATCAAGTGGAGGAGGTGTCACTGCTACTAAAACTACAGTACTTTTGTTTGCGGCTCGTGCTTCCTTTTTCAGTTTATTTTTTTTTCCGGCCGAAAATACAATTTTGTTGCAAGAACTTTCTTGCGTTCGATGGCTGTTTCCAAAATCCAGTTGCTCGCAATTTGAAGCGCTGATAATCAGGCACTTTTTCGCAGCTGCAGGGTCTCGAGCCCGTTATTCTTTGTTGCTTTTCAAGTCAGTGAGCTCAACGTCAACCTTCCGCAGGGAACAAGAAACGCAAACAACATACGCTTTTTCGCCCCATCCTGGGGTGTGTAAACTTCCGTCTTCCTGAGCGCAGGAAGATTGGCGCCGAAAGCCGAGAACTTGGATGCTTCCGCTCGTCGGTGCGTCGCGAGCTCCAAGGCTTGAGAGGATGTGCCCTAGTAGCGTCCTTGCTACTAGTAGATCAAGGTCTCAGGGCCTTTTTGAATCTCCATTCTGTTGGCATTGAACCTCTTTGCCTCTCTGGGTGGCCTGACTGAGCGTAAAGCTCTTGTCAATCAGGCAACCAGCTTGTGGCTATTCCTGCAATCCACAACAACATAGCTACACATAGGTGCGGTATTTGGTGCTCGTTAGCAGAGCAGTGAACCTCAACGACGTGAAGATCTGAGCGAAAGCGGTGTGGAAGGAATTGAAATTCCGAAGTTCTCGCGCCTGCATCCCAGACTATTCTGCCTCCGCGAAGGCACAAAATAGTTGCCCATAATTTCTTGCAATTTCTCTTTGATCCTCACTTACAGCCCTTCATTGAGTCTTTCGGAAAGAGTGACGCAGCAGCGTTTCCAACCTAGGATTTGGTTCGAGCAAGTGGTGCACAACATGCCACTTCAGACGGCTTTCTCCCCCGGAGTTTGCATTGCAAAGCTTTATTCTTTCGCAATGGAAACACGGGGCTCACTCCCCAATGCGGCTTTGTGGCACAAGCTCCACTTTTACTGGTGTAGGTGGTGGAGGTTTCTGCTTCTTCTGTGGTGCTTTGTCTGCCATTGCGTCTGCTTGTCCCTGGTTTGCTTGGCTTGGTTTGTTCAAGGTCGTGTCTGTGTGAGCCTGCTTGTGTCCTAGGTCTTGTCTGCATGTTCCTGCATGGTAGAAGTAGCTGTCTGCTTCTTTTCCGAGGTCTTGTGTGCATGGTGCTGCTTATTGTGGTCATATCAAAGGTGTTGTCTCGAGGTTCCTGTTTGGTACTGTATCCCTGGCATAGCTTGTCCCACGGTCCTGCTTGGCTTTTGTTGTCTTGCACCAGCTTTTCCGCGTACTAGGGTCATTGGAACCACTTTCACCACACAACCGTTCTAGCACCAGCTGATCTTTGCCCCGTGAGGTGATTGGTGTACTTCTTTGTGCGTGAAGTACTCTGCAAGAAGAGCACCGACGCCACTCCGGCCACGGTCGAATCACAACACAACAACTCCCCAAGAAGAGCCTAAAGAATCCTCACTCACATCAGTGAATGACGTCCGCCATGTTTCCAGCAAAAGTTGTCGTTGTTTGAAGAGCAGTGAGCGCATTATCATTTCCATGAAAACCTGAATTTTCAAACTCGCGTGTCCACTCCTTGACTATTTTTAATGGTGGTAAGTTCTAAGTGTACTTCACTTCATATCAACATCAGAAGGACATCCCAAGTGATTGAATTCCAAGGAATTCAAAACGGTTCAAAGATCAAAGGCGAACCTAGCCCCCTGGATTTGTCTTGGAGTGATCTTTTTGAACAGTCTCTTTGTGAGATGGGGGAGATACGCTAACCTCGATCCAACATTTTTTGTCAACTATTCAAGCCCCCCCAGTGTCAGTCAGTTCACAAATCCCCAGCACACAAACTTTAGAGTAGGTCTAGACATACAAAGGTCAAATAGAATCTGCCCTTTGAGGGCCTCTGCAACCAGTGTCGGATTGAATGACACTAGATTGTTTTGTTTGTTTGACAGTTGACAGTCTTCTCCACGTTGACATGACAAGCATTCTGTAAAGGCAGCAAAGAGCTACGCATGTACTTATATTTCGCCTTCAATGCTTGATACTGCAACTTGATGGCACAAGGGCTCGTTGTCTTCTTGTGGTAGCCTAATTGCATGAATGAATCAAAATTAGTTGACAAACGGACCAAACGAGTCTTCTTGACATCTCCTGGAGCATCCACGCGGGAAGGTCACGAAGAAGGCAGAGGCTCTGCTGCCAAGCCTGGGCCTTTTGACCTCACACTGTGACTTCCAT